TGGCACAGTTGGTGTTGTATTTCTTGACAAGTCACAAGGAGCAACTCCATTTTGGCCACTGTGTTACACTACACAGCAAGGGGAGTTCTTAAGGATTGTTGGCTTGAAAAGAAAAGGTGGATGCGTGCCATACCGAGAGAATTGTAAGTACTTACCTCTCCTCCTTCCCTCCCACCCTCCTTGCATTCAAACCTCCTCCACCTCCTCCTCCTCCTCCTTTTCCTCCTCCTCCTCCTCCTCCTCTTCCTGCAGCAGCAGCTGCTGGTGCTAGGAGCATCGACAATGGAGGAGGGACATTTGCTGCGTCCGACATGTGTTGGGTGACCGCAACATCGTCCTGTTAGTGTTGCATCGGGAAGGTCTCAAGTTGGCTCTCAGATGGTGTGTTGGAGGTGGCGCACTTTCAGTGGTGAGAGGGAGGAAATGTGTGTGGGTGTGTTTGGGAAGCCACTCAGTCATTGCTAGTCTTTCACAATCGTGTGTGTCGTGACTCAGCAGCAGGCGTGGATTACTGTGATGACGCTCTACTCGCCCATTTGTGTGGGTGGGCCCGCCCACATTTCTCTAGTGACCAGTTGTTTCAATTTCATGTTTTGCATCTGTGAGTGTTTAACTGAGCTTTTTTCTGGACAGATTTTTTTGACGTAAAATCAAGATTTCGTCGTTTTTATTTTCGTTAACTGATTTTAGTTCTTGTAAATTATTTGATTTTCAAGTTACAATTGTTCTATTTAATCTTTCAGCTCTGCTGTCAATGTGGCTTGCCTAAACGTTTATTTCTTTTTGAAATGATTAATTGCATTTCACCTTTTTTGATGGACTTTTTGGGGGAAACAAACTTAACATACCACTTTTTAAGCACTGCAGATAACAGTTTCCATATGTTGTAATTTGACCTCGTTATTTCATTCTGGTCTTAAAAAATTTTATTTTTTAGAATGCAAATAGGGAGAATTATAGGACCACCCATAATTACGGGCAGCAGGCATAAAGAGGGGCAATCTCAGAAAATTGCCGACCTGTGTGGAGGAAGTTATGGTGTATCCACACATTTATTGTGTTGGGACATAAGGCAGATTGCCCTAACGCATAAGTGCATAAATGCAACGAGCGTGTAGAACAAACGAATGCAGTTTTCTTCCTAGGCTTACGTCTTTATTTGTCTTTGCGTTAATTTTCGGACGCTGTTTTGGTGGCAGCAAAGTCAAATCCTATCCCAGATTTCGGCTACTTCGACTTAGCTAAAGTTGAGAGTAATTCGGTCATTTATTCAAAAAGAATTATAATTTATTGGCGATATTGTAACGAAATGCATAAAAATATTAGTTATTTGCATTTTTATGAATTCAATAATCTTTTAGATTTTTAACTTAACTGCGATATAATTTAATAGTTGCATTGAAATTCTGAAACATTTACTGCATATGTTACTTGGTGATTTGTTTGTTTAAGGGAGCATCCATCAATATGGCCTCGGATCCCCGGGACTAACAAGAACGCGTTTCACTCGGCTGTTTCCCCAACTTCAAGTCAAGGTGACAAAAAACATTTCTCTTTCGAACATTTCTTTTAGTCAGTGAAGACAACTAATTATGTACGAAGTTAGGTGTTTAGTTTCCCCATTCCTTCTTTTCTTTCTCCAACTTGATGTATTTGACCATATTGTGTTGTAAGGGGACTTTTTTCACACAGGCAACATCTAACTACTCAAAACAATTTTGTGGAGTACTGTGTAGCTTTATTTATTGTTTCTGATAGGGACTGTCCGCATCAAACAAAGTCGAAGCAAACCGCATGAATTAGTTGAGGTGTACTTGTTGCTCAGTGGGTATGTGCCTTGTAGTTGCATCGAATGGCATGAATGTGGTGAAGGATCATCTCTCTTGCGCTCTCCTTCCCTTGCCCATCCCAATCCAACTTACCTTACTTGACCAATCCCATTTCTGCAAACTGCACCTTGTCCTCACCTCTCCCGACACTTATACTCCCAATTCTCACAGTCATGAGCCGCTATCGCCCTTCCGTCTTCTCACTGACTCCAACCCATCCCTAGTCCCCTTTCTCCTTCCTTACTTTCCTTCGTCCTCCCTCTTCTACCATACATCCCTTATCAACATTCACACATGCACACACACCCTCGATAATCTTTTTGAGGAGGGAGAAGATGGTAAGGAGGTAGGGAAAGAAGGTGGGGACGTACATCTCACCATCGAAAAGGTTTATCCCTCGTAGAGTACACAGTCTACACACATGGGGTTAGGAAGCGCACTTCGGTAGTGACGACTATCTACGCCTAAATGCACGTGGGCAAGCTTCGGATTTCGCATCCCTGCGGCACCGTAAACCATTCCAATGTGGCACGACTTGACAGCAGAACAAATATGTTACCACTATTGAGACAGGCGTCTTGGGTGATGCGTATTTTTCTTGGCGTATACGATTTGAAGAACGACCGCGACTAGGTCTGCCTCCCTGCATGGTAAGCAAGATAACGCTCTGGTCAATACCTCGTGGTAAACTCTAAAATGCATCTGTAGCACCGTGAAGGGTAATGGTATGCCCCTGTGGAACCGTGTTTTCGACCAAATATACATCCTTTAAATGGGATTTTGGTAGCTTTTGTGTAGCAGCATTGTCCTGATATAATTAATGCAAAGGAGATGGTACACAGCATAGAGGAAAATGATAATCCAATTCATAATAAGAAATAAATGTAAATAAGCCTACTGTAATGGAAAAGATTTATCAACTGTGATGAAAACCGAAAACCACACACGTATAGTGAGTCCTTTGCCCCAAAATAAGTAAAACGTGTTTACTTAGTAATGACTTTAAGGCTAAAATTTTAGTACTTAATTTATGCCACAAAAAGATCCACCTGTTGTGGTAACACAGAATTGTGCTAGAAACCAATACAAAATTTTGGTCTTTTGCATTGAGAAAAGGGAAGTAACGACGCTGCAGAATACGTATTTTGGCTAAAATTGGGTGAATTGCGTGTGGGGCACCGCATCTGCATCAGCGCAATTTATTTGGGTCAAGTGGGAATAAAAATTGACAGAAGTGAGGTGCATTTACTGGCTCAACGTACTGCTACCGCCCTTCGCCATTTACTTGCTATAATTGTGACAATGAATGCCGATTCTATCATATAAGAACGGTCTTCAACTTCATCATGACCTCAAACCTAGACGATCCATTACAAAGTTGGTGCACTTTAGCTGAGTATTTTATTTTTTCTCTTTTTTGGACTATTTAATGAGTATTTCGCCAATCTGTGCGGGTAAAAAGGCGACATGTTCCGCCCAAAAAAAGTGCAATCACTTTAGCTTTGAATTTCACCAGGAAAAGGACAACACACAATCACTTGTGCATTTGCGGCACTACTATCGTTTTGGTGTTATTTTGTGCTCGGTTCTCCGAGCGCAGAGATCCTCAAGGCTGGCAGAACGGGAACGATGATGAAGAGCTTCGTTGCTTTCACCTTAGGGCTCATAGCACACCTTGGCAACTGCTTAAATTGAAATTGGGGTAAATTTTAATTCAGAGGATGCGGCGATTACAAGCCGTAGTTGCTGAACTGAAGTGTCATCACTGCTAGTTCCTGCGTGGATTCCCATCCTCACTACGATTAAGGTGTTTAAAAATATTTTATTTCATGGTCAGACTGTCCGATTGTAAAGGTCATTTGTATGTAAGTGGTGAGGCAGTTGGGGCTGTCTCCACTGGCCTTTGCGCATTTTTCGGGTTTTCCTTCCGTGGCACATCCACTCCACAAATGCGATAGCACCAATCCATCTTCAATTTAAGCACCCTCTTCTACTTTATAAACGATCAAGATTGAGGAATCCGATGTAATCAGTGAATGTGTGTTTCTCAACCCAAGAAATGGAATCATTTCATGAACCAAAATACGAATTATCCAGACATTATGCAAAGCAGAACAGTGATGAGTAGTAGTGTAGGAAAACAGGGGCAGCTGGAATGCACATACCGCCTCAACCACAAAACTGTCACAACTGTCTTGCATGGAGAGATTTTGACTGTGCCTGTGCGTTCCTTTCGAAACTTTGGGGGAGCCCCATCCTCCAACTCGGGGTCACAGGGTTGACGACATTAAACCAATAGTAAGGCGATGATTAAATTTCACTAAAATTGAGTGGCTGGTGCCAACTATTTTATCTGTGGCATTAGAAGGTAAGTGCTATAAGGGTAGAAGTTTCCTCGAGAAGTGACACAGATTTTTGACATCGTTGACGTTTATCCTCTATGTTTGAACTATTGGTATTTCCCGGCAGGCTCACGATAAGGCCACGTTTCTTCATTCCTAATCCTCATTTTCAAGTCGAAATGTGTGGACCTCTTTTGTCCAATGGTTTGTGTAGTTGTAGTTCCTTTGACTGCTGTGAAGTGGAAAGATTGACTGCCACTGACATCTGCAACCACCAAAGGCAATCGGCACGTCTCAGGGCTATCCAAACATTAAAAGTATTGCGCTGCCTCGATTTGTAAATCATCTCTCCAGTCAACCTCTCGCTATGTCCATAATAATGGAAGTGGTGCCAAAAAAATAACACCAATCAACACCAATCAACCAGTCTGCTGGAGCCGCCGTCAAATTTGCTTGTGACTCAGGTGATGTCAAACTACAGCGTCACTGATACACTTGCAAATCCCACTGTATTAGACATTTTATCATCTTCAGTAGTGTCATAAAGAAAAGGGAATGTCCATGCCCTCTGATATGTCTATCGGCGACCATAGGAATATCAGATGGAGAGGAAGAAGTTAAAATAATTTAAAGGGGATTGCATTTGGTTTCTCTTCAATTTACTCCCATTGCAGCTCTGACTAAACGACTCTTCATCCAACTACTATGCGAATGAAGGAAGTGCCGCGTTTTCGCTTTATTGAAAGATCTGAGCAATTACTAGAGACTTCTCCGTATTGAACTTTTTAAAATATTTCATGGCTAATATCACTTGGTTTGGTTTTTAATGGCTTTCCAAAAGTTTTCAGGCAGCGAAGTTAGAGTGGAGGTTTTTATTAAAAGTCATCACAGATGATCTCATCTGGAGCAGCTGCCCTTCCTCCGTCACTTTAAGCCTTGTAATTAGTTAATTTAAGGTAGGGCAGCTGTGTCATACGATGGGAGTTGCCTTTTGCTGCTATAAATGGTATGCATGTGACTTTCATAAAGATGAAAGAAGCTGTAACACTATGGCAAAATATGTGTGCATTTGACTTGCTTTACTCTGTCTACAAGGCTGGTTACAATTGCGCACTGGTTCCCCAAAGGGATTCCGCTTTTAGCCCTAAAGCAATAAATGGGTAGCCGTGGAAATGCTTGCGTCATGTCAGTCGGTTGTTTACTGGAAACACCACATGATTGGCGCAGCAGTGGTAATCACAACAGGTCCAAAAAAACTGTCACCATGACCATTCGGTGGAGTAAAAGTTAAAAAATTAGGAAAACAGCGATGAGAAGAGTTATGAAACAGATGCAAGTTCCCAGCATTTCAAATGTCTTTAGCGATAAAAAGACGTGTAAAAGAGTTAATTTGTGCCTATTTTATCCACTCTTCTTATAGAAAGCTAACACGATATATGATGGAGAGGGGAATTCAAAAGTGAAGCAATTAAAAAACAAAGCAAGACAGTTAACCTGTTCATTTTGGTAAGATGCTTTTTTTTATACCATCCAAATGCTAACATATTCATATTCAAGATGAAAATAAAACCATTCCCTACACTAATCCCTAAAACTAAAAGAAGAACGAGCAAATTTGCATTGGATAGAGTTACAGAAAAATTTAAAACAACAAAAAGCAAAATTTGAACTGGTTGCATAAAAGATGACCTTTAAAACGATGATATACGAAACCACACAAATGGGCGAGTAGAGCGTCATCACAGTAATCCACGCCTGCTGCTGAGTCACGACACACACGATTGTGAAAGACTAGCAATGACTGAGTGGCTTCCCAAACACACCCACACACATTTCCTCCCTCTCACCACTGAAAGTGCGCCACCTCCAACACACCATCTGAGAGCCAACTCGACACCTTCCCAATGCAACACTAACAGGACGATGTTGTGGTCACCCAACACATGTCGGACGCAGCAAATGTCCCTCCTCCATTGTCGATGCTCCTAACAGGAGGAGGAGGAGGAGGTTTGAATGCAAGGAGGGTGGGAGGGAAGGAGGGAGGGAGGGAGGGAGGAGAGGTAAGTACTTACAATTCTCTCGGTAAGGCACGCATCCGCCTTTTCTTTTCAAGTCAACAATCCTTAAGAACTCCCCTTGCTGTGTAGTGTAAGACAGTGGCCAAAATGGAGTTGCTCCTTGTGACTTGTCAAGAAATACAACACCAACTGTGCCA